GACTCCCCGCAAACGGATAAGGAAAAAAACCGTGTGAACACCGAAACGTGAGGCCCCAAACGATTAAACTTTGCCCAGTTCCAAAGTCAACTCTGAACCTAATATAGGGGCCTAAATACAGTTTAGGGTTTAGGGTTTAACTTAATACAGGGGCCTACATACTTACCAACATGCAGCGGGTGGTGCACGGTAGCTGATATTGGGCTCACTGTTGTCACACTGATAATAACAGATACACACTCGCAGAAGGATAAGAGCGCACCGCTCTCTTTTTGCAAGCTCTCCTCGAGCTTCCGTATGGCTCAGACGAGTCAGCCTAAAAGAAGGGCCCTTCAGGCTTGTGCCTAAGGGCAACATGTAAAGCAAGCGTGAACATCTGATCATGACTGTTGCACCACCCAACAAAGGAAGTCAGATGTTCTGTCGTAAGTGGGAGTCGACATCGGCGACAGCAGACTTGCCCATGCGTTTGCTCTTCTTTGAGGATGTGAACGAAGGGTCAAACTTGATGCTCCATAGTCCAGTCCTCAAGAACTTGATGAGGCCAAAGCGGCTGTCGGCACGTTTCTTAGTCAAGGCATCTGCCAAGTCATAGTCGCTTGCCAACCAGCATAGGATGCATCCAGCTCGACGAAGATTATCTCTCAACTGGAAAGCCTGAAGAGCGGCCCTCATGTTTGAGAGCCCAAGCAAGGGTGACTCTCTCACCTCAATGGCATCGTAGCCGCCACATGAGTCTGTACAGACGATGCCCTTGATCGCCAAGGTTTGGTTCTCGACCTGCTCCACCAGGTCGTGTCGAAGTTCTCGTCCATGTAGTCCGCCGGCTCCGTGTAGTTCGCTCCATAGAAGTCGTAGGCGAAAGTTGTTGTCCTCGGCTTCGAGGACAGCTTGTATCTCCGCGTCGTTAGAGCCGATGGCTCGCCTCTTTAACTTCCATGATCGCCATGAAAGCATTATCATCGGACTGATGGCGCCATTGATGCAGGATGGTCCCGCTGCTAAGGTGATCAGGCCTGTTGATTCCCCTTTTGGTCGATTGCCGTGTGCTTGATCACCCATAGAAACGAAAACCATGTCCGACCAATGCTTCACGTCCTTGAGCTTCCGGAAGTGGAGCCGAAATGGTTCTTGACGTACTTCTCCAATCATGGCCTGAATCTCGGGGGCGGTCTCGAGGTCGTTGTTCGTGACGAGCTCGGTGAGCAGTAAGTTGTACCTCGAACACAACTGAGGTTGTGTCTGTGTTGCCAACCATTGCAGTGCTCCTAGGGATGTCCTGCATGCTTCGAACTCGCTCTTGGACATCCTGTAGGCCCTCCACGTAGTAGTCCTGGCCCACGGTCACCTGGAAGTTGCCGTCGTTGTCCTTGGTCGTGACCACGTCGGTCCCGGCATGTCTGTAGGATCCGGTCTTCGCCGTTCCCCACTTGTAGGCCGCATCCACTTGGTCTTTTACAGCCTTCCACTCCTCTTAGTCACCGTCTCCTAGTCGGTGAAAATCATCGACGTGGCCGCTCATAGCACCAATGACTCGCGGAAGTCCTCGGTCTAGTTCATGCTTGGACTTCCATATCCACAGACATCTTTCACCAAGCACTGGAATTCCTCCTAGCTTCGTCAGCGCCTTGTGGAGGTCCAACCATAGACCTCTGGGTGCCGTAGTGCTCCCGTACTTGTTCTTGAGGATTCGCATGAGTCCGGGGCCGTCAATGCCCAGAGCTTCTCGTAGCTCTTCCACTCCAGTAGTCCACATGTTCTTGTCCGCCTCGGTCGGCTGCGTTTGTAGAAATGCTGTAGCCAAGTCCAACCCTTCCAGTGGCCATTGATGTTCAGCGCTCATAAGGTAGAGGAGGTTCCTTCCCATCAATGACTGAACAGGAGATGCCGTCTTGAAAGATGAGTCTAGAAGACTGGGACGTTGATACCCAAGTAACACAATCCTGGCCTTTGCCTTCTTCTTCCCGCCCTTGGAGTGCATGGTGTTCGGGTTTTCGGCAGCGTCCTTCGCAGCCTCGGACTGTTCCTCGGTGGGCACCAGTTTCCAAGTGAGAACACATCTGGCCTTGATGATGCGTCGGGAGCCGTATGCTTCTTTGATCTCTTTCTGATCAAGACAAGCTCTGACTGCTTCATTCTTGATGAAGGAGTCAACTTCCTTGGATTTGGCCCTTGTAAATAGCTTGCGCTCAGCCTCGCTGAGTTTGGACAAGGTCACCTCACAGTCGCGCATCTTTTTGGTCATGTAGAGGACGGGGTCCGGGGCCAGTTGTTTCTTTTGACGATTTGAAAGTTTTTCACCCACATCAAACTCCATATTGAGGAACTGTTCAAAGTCCGGTGCTTGCTGTGTAGCCGTATGAATGTCCATTTGTTGTTCTTCTTGCGCTGCCTCCATGTGTAGCGCTTCGACCCACGTAAGTTGTTGTGGATGAGGTTGTTCATCACTTCGAAGTCGCTTTGGCTCTGGTTCGTAGTCGTTGACAGCCGTTGACGTGGCTGGCCTGGTAGTCGCGGACGTGCTGGAAGAAGGTTGTCCGTTCCCAGGCTCGGGCACATCCTCTTCTATCTCCTCATGACGTAGTCGATCTTGTACGGCTTGCGGAACCACATAGTCACCAGGTTGGAACGTAGTCTTGCGTACTGCCCGCCTTCTCGGCATGAGTGTAGTTGTAGAATCCGGCTGCTGCGGCAGTGGTGGTAGTTCAGGTTCTCCTTCGCCAGGTACTTGGTCCGTAAGGTCCTGGTACTCTCGCGTCGGCACAATGTCGGCCAAAGTTCTCCACTTCGTTGGGTCTTCGATCTTGCTGGACTCAATCTCAAACCATCCCGTCTCTGTCGCTGGCCTGACAGAATGCACCGAGCAACGTAGTAGCTGACTGCCGATCAGCACCGATACAATGTGCCGACGATCATCATCAGCTTCTTGATGAGCTAGCACTTCGTGAAATACCACTCTGCCGGGTCCAATCCAGTGTGGTCTCCCAGACTTCTGGAAGCCACCGCGTGGCTGCTTGTGTTGTTCTTGAGGCCAAACTTGCCGCCAAACTTTCACCAGGTCCATCGGGTTGTAGGTCCGAAGGGGTTGCCTCGCCGTTGTGTTTGCGAGTCTGGACAGGACTCGTTTGCCCCGGCTTGCCTTGGCTATCTCTTCGGCCTTGAGCCGCGCAGTGATGAGCTTCGTGAACTCAATGCGAGGCTCCACGGTCTCGTAGGTCCTGATGTCCTCATCCGTCACGCAATACTCTGAGCCGAATGCCCATTGGTTGGCCGAAAAGCCAGCTGTGGTCTCCGTGGCATTCAACGCAGACGCCGTCAACTGCAGAGTCCCCCTAGGGTCTCGTGATAGGTCCTGCTGTCCTGCACGGAGGCCTCAATGACTCCATGGGCCCAGCTCTCCTTCTCTGCCACGTAGTGAGGAACCACATTGATGTCACTCAGGAAGTCGTGCACCAGCTCCGACGTAAAGCTCTTGGCCGAGTCCAGTAGTAGATATTTCGGCTTTGGGAACATTCCAAGCCATCGCTCAGACAGGGATCGAATGAAATCCTGTCCTGACTCAGCTCGCATCTCTAGGAAGCCGTAGGTGAACAAGGGATGAATCACGCGGAGCTTCGTTGCAACATCCATGAAGACCAAAAACTTCACCTTGACCTTGGATTTAGGTGGAATCCATTCGCCAGCATCTACTGCCACGGCCTCCCATGCTGCGTACTGTTGGTGCGGGGCCACCGGTGGTGTTTGACCAGAGCTGTCACCGCCCTTCCGTAGACTCTCACAAGCTGGACATCGATGTAGCAAGGCGACCTCTGACTTCCACTTGGGGTGTCCAGCGTCCAGGATGATCCTTGCCAAATTCCTATTTGTCGGGTGACCAGCTGCCTTGTGGAACTTTGCAACACGGGCTTCCCATGCTTGTCTCTCAGGTTTTGGGATGGCCTGCAGCTCTGCTGACTCTGTACCATGTCTAACTGAAACGGACCCACCAGGAGATTCTTGAGGTTCTTGATGTTCTTGTGGGACTTCACCACGAGATTCTTGAGGTTCTTGATGTTCTTGTGGCGGCACTTCACCATGAGATTCTTGATGTTCCGCCGCCACGTGTAGCTCCTTCGAAACAACATTGTCTTCCAAAGGAAAGCCAATCTGTGTCAGCATCTTCTTCTGGTGTAGGCAGAAACATTGAGTCGCACTCCAGTCCATGCCTGAGTGGCGTGTAGATTGAGGGGATCAAACATCACCACTTTGTTCTTTGTCGGCATCACGTAGCCCGCCACCATGTGACCTTGATCGGTCCTCCGCCTTGTTGCTTTCCATCCATCTGGAGGCTGTCCTTGTAGCCATAGACCTCCTCCACTGTAGGTTCCCACACCGACCAGGTAGTTGTAGGATCCTCGAGCATTGTGGTGATCACAATGGAGTCGTGTCTGGCAATTGAAGTTGACGACGAAGCTTGACCAGCATCCATGAGGTTGGTGGTGGCGAAGAAATTGGTTGATGTAGAGGACGCACATCGGGTTCTTCATAGTCCGTCGCGTGATCCCTCGAAGGTTGCCATGTGAAAAGGCTCCGTAGGATGGGCTGTTGACTCCCGGCTGGGTGCCACGCGAATGTGTAGTTGAATTCATCAGACTCTTCGGTCTCATCATCATGAGTAGCTGTTCCAGAGTGCCAAACTGGAAGTCATTGGCATTCATAGCTGTTTGACCAAAGTTCTCTGCGGATTGTGCAACTTCCGCAGCAGCCATAGTCATAGAATCTGGTACTTCGTCACGAAGGTCCCGGATTTCGATCTCGGCCGCTGGCTCCAACTCGTGGTAGTCGAGGTGGTCTTTTGAAGGAATCGGATCTTCGTCTTGATCGTCTTGCGTAGTTTGTTGATGTAGTAGACGAAGGTGCTTGGGAGGCGATGTTTGTTCCCGCCAATGTCGCGCAATCGCTTGAACCATGCGCCACGGGTAGTAGGCCGTCTGAGAGGTCAGGCCACACTCAATGTTCACGTGTTGATGGTTGCCGGGACAAACTTTCGCTCGGAAGGTCTTGTGGAACCTCTCATCATTGGTCTTGATCATCCACTTCTTGTGTATAAAGGCTCCACTGCAATCATCTCGCATCCCGTAATTGCACCCATCAACTCGACAAGTCATCCACATCTCACCGATCTTCTCCAGGTTCTTGTCAAGGTAGACCATGGGCTGCTGTTTCCAACCAAAGCATGGGTGTGGCCATTCAAAGCAGATCTTGACCTCCTCATCCACCTCGAGAACATACTGTATGAAGGAAACTGCCTCCCATAGAAGCTTTCGCTCCTTGCGGCGCGCGGTCTCAAGTACTTCTTGTTTCTCCGGCGTGTTGTAGTTGACCGCTGTCCATGGACACCACTTTGTACACGGCAATGAAAACCATAGTCTCTTCGGCCTCCTCTTGTCGTGGAGTCCACGTGGTCGTTACCATGTCTCCTTGAGGTAGAGGTCATACTCTTGCTGGTAGTTGATCCTCCGTGGTCGTAGTCCATGTTGTTCGCAAGCCTCGCTCAACCAGCTGTGGGGCGAGCAGGCAACTTCCCACACGCCGTCGTTGTCTTGTAGATGCAGTCCACGCAGAAGATTGGACGTAGCCGCAGTCATCATAGCCGCAAGGTGCACGATCTTCCGGCCCACGTAGTTGGGGGTCACCTTCTGTTTATGATTTCCCACTTTGACATGTCGTATTTATCTTGTATTGCTTTACTACATTTTGCACTCCATTTCACGTGAACATGCGAATGACATGATGATTGACCGAAGGCGTTTGTTCAGAATCGAGG